GGGTGAGTGGGGAGGGTGAGTGGCGGTTGTTAGTGGTGATTAGTGAGGGATGAATGGTGAGGGTGAGCGTGAGTGGTGAGGTTGAGTGGTGAGCAGTGAGGGTGAGTGGTGATTGGTGAGGGTGTGATTGGTGAGGATGAGTGGTGAGGGTGAGTAGTGAGGGTGAGTGGTTGTTGTGAGGGTGAGTGGTTGTTGTGAGGGTGCGTGGTGAGGGTGAGTCGTAAGAGTGAGTGGTGAGGGTGAGTGACGGTTGTGAGAGGTGATTAGTGAGTGGTGAGGGTGAGTGGTGAGGGTTAGTGGTGAGGGTGAGTGGCGGTTGTGAGTGGTGATTAGTGAGGGGTGAGTGGTGAGGGTGAGCGTGAGTGGTGAGGGTGAGTGGTGAGGGTGAGCGGTGAGGGTGAGCAGTGAGGGTGAGTGGTGATTGGTGAGGATGTGATTGGTGAGGATGAGTGGTGAGTGGTCAGGGTGAGTGGTGATTGGTGAGGGTGAGTGCTGAGCGGTGAGGGTGAGTGGTTGTTGTGAGGGGTGAGTGGTGAATGGTGAGAGTGAGTGGTGAGGGTGAGTTGTGAGGGTGAGTGGTGATTGTTGAGGGTGTGATTGGTGAGGATGAGTGGTGAGTAGTGAGGGTGAGTGGTCACGGTGAGTGGTGAGGGTGAGTGTTGAGGGTGAGTGGTGAGGGTGAGTGGCGGTTATGAGTGGTGATTAGTGAGGGGTGAGTGGTGAGGGTGAGCGTGAGTGGTGAGGGTGAGCAGTGCGGGTGAGTGGTGATTGGTGAGGGTGTGATTGGTGAAGATGAGTGGTCAGGGTGAGTGGTGAGGGTGAGTGGTTGTTGTGAGGGTGAGTGGTGAGGATAAGTGGTGAGGGTGAGTGGCGGTTGTGAGTGGTGATGGGTGAGTGGTGAGCGGTGAGGGGTGAGTGGTGAGGGTGAGTGGTGAGGGTGAGTGGTGAGGGTGAGTGCTGAGTGGTGAGGGTGAGTGGTGAGAGAGTGGTTAGTTTTGAGGGTGAGTGGTGAGGTTGAGTGGTGAGGGTGAGTGGTGGTTGTGACGGTGAGTGGTGAGGGTGAGTGGTGAGGGTGAGTGGTGAGGCTGAATGGTGAGGGTGAATGGTGAGAGTGAGTGGTGAGTGGTGAGGGAGAGTGGCGAGTGAGAGTGGTGAGGGTTAGTGGTGAGAGTTAGTGGTGAGAGTGAGTGGTGAGGGTGAGTGGTGATTGGTGAGTGGTGAGGGTGAGTGGTGAGGGTGAGTGGTGAGGGTGAGTGGTGAGGGAGATTGGTGAGGGAGGTTGGTGAGTGGTGAGTTGTGAGGGTGAATGGTGAATAGTGAGTGGGAGTGGTGAGTGGTGAGGATGAGTGGTAAGGGTGAGTTGTGAGTGGTGAATGGTGAGGGTGAATGATGAGTACAGTCAATATGCACTGCTGTTATCATACCAGGTACCACCACCACAATATGTACTCCTCTCATCATAGCAGATACCACCACAGCAGTATGCACTGCTGTAATCATAGCAGGTACCACCACAGTCAGTATGCACTGCTGTCATCATAATAGGTACCAACACAGCAGTATGCACTGCTGTAGTGATAGCAGGTACGACCTCAGTCGGTATACACTGCTGTAGCGATAGTAGATACTGCTATCGAGTTGGTAGATACCGCTATAGTAAATACTAAAACAGTCAGTATATACCACTACAGTCAGTCAATACTGCTACAGTCAGTATATACTACTATACAGTCAGTACATATTGCTACGGTGAGTAGCTACTAGAGTCAGTAGATACTATTATAGAGTGAGTAGATACTGCTATAGATTTTGTAGTTACTACTATAGTCAGTGGATACACTATAGAGTCAGCAGATACTATACAGTTAGTCGTTACGAGTATATAGTCGGTAGATACTACTGTAGGCCCAGTAAATACTACTATGGTCAGTAGTTATTACAGTCACTAAATACTACTACACAGTCAGTAGCTACTACTGGCTCAGTAGATACTACGGTACAGTCAGTAGATACTACTACAGAGTCAATAGATACCACTTCCTCTGTTGTATGTAAGGTGTTGTTAGTATATATACCTACGAGGGGTAAAGATATTTTTTGAGGGGGGGGGGGGGAGACCACAATTTTCGGAAACATTTTGACATCAACTATTTACCCCACACTTTCTACAACTTTTTGGACTTGTGAAAGCCTCTTATATATTTGTTGGTGGAAAAATGTACAAACAGCCCACCGGGCTTTGACAATACCTTAGTATCTGTGTATATATATGTAAGGTTTTTAAGAAAGATATTTTTCACCCGGGCAAAGCCGGGTACTTCCGCTAGTGAGATATAAAAGTGCACGTCAAGCCATAAGGCTCGAATCCAGTGAGCCCAGCCCTGCATGTCATGCTGGATACACACCACTGTGCAAAAACAATGCATTGTTTTTGATGATTTTGTATAAGTAAATAGTAAACAGATTTTGTACACTATGTTGAACCCCACCGACGATATTTCATGCAGCTGTGGTCCTAAGAATAGATGCCCCCAGAATTCTAAAGCAGACTTCCACAATTGCAATATATGCACAACCAGCTGAACACGACCTAGCTTCTAGGTAAGGCCACTCTGTGGAAGGATACACTTTTTACGGAGACAGCAGATTGCAATAACTCTATCATCAAAGCATGTTATATGCTGTAAATGTTATTTGATGTAAATTGGATGGATAAATATAGTTTGCGAGCCATTTCAAAGTGGTAGGCCTCATGTGGCTGTGGGCTATATGAAACAAAGTGATATGGGTCATCTATGGCCTACGGGTGCCAAAAGGTCCCCCTCTCCTGCTTGGAGAAAATGCTACGATGTCAGACGTGTGATCAGTCCTCCGGCCTTATCGCAAATGTTATCCTTTTGTATTTTTTTCGAATGTCATCACTTGTCTTGAACTATTTATAGGTTGTGTCGAAAGCTAAGAATTATGGTGAAGTAAGCAGCTTTGTTTATGTTATTACTCAATGCAATTACTGTTGAGCAAAATTTATGGACTGTAAATAGCTCCGACTCAATTAAATGCATTCCATGGTGAACTTTAAATGCAAGCCTCCATATGCCCCACCCTGCATGTAATTAAGCCTTGCTTATGCATCCGATGCTCCACACCATCACTCATTGCAAATGAGGAATGGCATGTCCAGATGTGCTATTGTGGAATATTGAATCTAACTAAACACGGCTTGAAGAAGTGAATACTAACAATGCATCTTAAATGTCATAAAATTGACAAAAATACTGTTTAGCACGAGAAGGAGGTGACTAATTCCATTGGCAGGACATTGATCCAGTCCTACTAAGGTCTTGAATATGAGCCACAAGTGGCTACTTGAGATGAAAGATAAAGGTTCGGAGATGTGACATTTGTTTAGTCTCAGCTCAGTCACCAACGGGTGTAGAAAACAGCAAAGAAGTGTGCCATTGAACCTCTTGTTTATCCCCATTGTGAAAGCTCACAAATCAAAAATTATTACTCACGCACATGGTGAAAGAGCACAGTCAGCTGGCAGGAAGAACCAATTATGAGACACTGAATAAGGCTGATGATTTCACTTCCGGGTCATGTACACGTTCTATACGTGGTTTCACATTCTGCAGAGGGCATCTAAATTTAAAACGCTTTGCCCTGTAATTATACATGAGCGATTGATCATTTGGATTGAGTTACTAAAGAAGGCAAAGGAAACACATTTGAAATCTAACATTAAAAAAATAGTTCACTGAAAAAACATGGATACCATGGATTTAGTTTAGCTTCGCCAAGAATAAAATCCGATTCTAAGTTACGGAGTTGTTGCTTCCTTTTCAATAGAAGAAAAAGGGATGACTCAATGACAACAGAGAAGCAAATTTATGCCTGTGCTTTTCACTGCGTGCATTCAATGGTTGGTTTCATGCCAAATTTGAAAACATTAGCATAGTGTTCCAAAAGGGAGAAAAAATGGCCTCTTGCTGAACAAGCTGTGTGAATAACAAATGGAACCACAGGAGTAATTATATTAAAAATAAAACATATGCTCCAGTGTTTTGAAGGGAAGGTGTATTGTTCTTCAATAACAAAATCCTATTTTGCAATGAGAAACATTTTCTACGACCTCTTAATAAGTATTTGTCTGCATGCAGGTATCGAAGAATGATGTGCTCTAACTGCTGAAAATTAGATTTAACTCGAATGCAATTGCATGGTTATTCACTATGCAATGCTCTGAACTTCAAACCTCATGCTGCCTGCTTTTGAACTAAATGCACATATAGTTATGTTTTTTTTTAATGTTGTACTTAATTTATATATATAATTTTATAAAAAATACTTTTATTTAAGCACAAGTGTAAAAAAGACACATTTCCTCTGCGAGGCTTGATGTCTTTTTTCATCACATTTATTATTAAACAGCAGTTGCAATTCATGTACGGGGAATAATGTTCCATCTCGGCGATAATAGGCTACATGGACACAAATGTATTTTCCTCAATCATGAAGTTCGGTGCAAAAGCACGACCTAATCAAACGGATGCATCTTCGCTCATTTCAAGGTAGCAGCAGTAAACAACATGCATCAAGGCAGATACAGTGCTATTACACGGATGATTGAGTGAGCATTACATTGCCTGGAACACCCATGCCGTGCTCTATAGCTCTAACCATCATAATTTTAAGTCTGCATAAGCAACTTACCATAAAATACAATATTTGTCCTATGTGACTGCTGAAAGTGCAGGTTTATGCAGAATCGAAATGTCAAAATTCATAGGATATTTATTTTATATATCCAACTGAAATTGCAACAAGATATTTTGAAGTGAGGATAACCACAAAAACCAAGCCATGGTCAATTTATATCGAGATCAGACATTGGCACCGGCTGGCTAATCTCATCTCAGTTTTCCCTGAAAAAGCACGCAGCCGGTAATCGCAATTGCAATGAGCACGGTTCAACCAAAATAATGACCCGCGGAGATTACCTGCTCGGGGTCATACTTGGAAAGGATTCCACCCTCCCGGAACTCCCCAAGGACATCCTTCACTTTCTTGTTGGTATCTGTGGGAGACAACAGAAGACACTCAGCAACACACTGGTTGACACAGAGGCTATCTCCGTTCTTTTTGAAGCAAAGCAAGGGAAAAAGGTAATAATTCTCCCAGTCAGTTTTTGTTGCTTCTTTGGTCACATTGAAGGGGCGCCCCTCAAATTCTTGCTGGAGATTTTGTAAAAAAAAAAGATTTAAAGCACCTGGCCTTTGTACAATGTGAAGGTCTTGAGGGAATTCTGGATGCTGACCATATTTGTAAGGAGTTATAACTTCACTCCTTGATATTACTGCACGCCCTCCTATTATGCATTACATTCATACAGACAACAACAACAACACTCAGACATATTCTTTTTAAGCCTCGAGGAATAAAAACCTTGTGGCACACAAGTGCATGCTAAAGTGGAATGTAAGCTACTTTCACCTTGAGAATGTAAAATCAATGTTATGTGACCGGAGATCACAAAGGTGAAACTACAGCTCAGGTCTGACAAATAGATATTGTATCGTAATGTGTTCTCAGCTGGATTTATGAAAAATAATTCATTGATTGTGTAGCATGGACTTCTGAGACCCACTTTAAACTGAAAATGCCAATTATTTTCCCTTGTCATTTGAAAAATATTTTTTCTTGGTGGAACAGTTTGAATGTAGATAATTAACATGCAGCCTAAATATTAAACAATGCACACAGTATTCGGCATTATTGATCAATTACAGAATGTATGTGTGCCTTGTCTCACAAAAGGCATGTGAATACAAGAAACTATGTCGGCATTGGCAGTTTGAATGTTTAATGAAAACACCACATGACTTATGCAACATCAATTCTGGTTCATGTCCCCAAATTCTGAAACGCCTGGTTAAACATGTGATTCATATTTAATTTTAAATCGACCAGTAGCAGAAAACATAGCAAGTTAAATGTATTTTACAAAAATGATAAAAGGAGATGGATAAAACTTGGCTTATTTTTGTTATTCACTTGACAATAATCAATGGCTAAAACATGCCACTAATGTAAAGACCATTAGGTGTAAGCAACACAATCACGAATGAGTGTTTCAAAGTTATAGTTCATAGACCAAAACATTATTCCAATTATCCAATTCGTTTGTATGCTCACGACGTTTCGGCCACAACGCAAGCTGCTTGCGTTGTGGCCGAACGTCGTGAGAATTATTTTATTATGTTTTATTTTTATTATTTTATTTCTTCCCTTCTACGTGACTTTACCGAAAGAACCAAAAAGATGAATCCCTGCAGTCACGAAAGCTTTAAATCGAAATATTGTATTGTTAATGTAAAAAAATACAATCCTTTAAACAGTTGATGGCTGGTAATTTGAATACAGGATATGCATGTCTATAGCCATTGCCTTGATAATATGCACACACTGAACAGCCCATTAGAGTGCATGTTTACTTCTGTCAATGACTATGCAAAGGCAATATTGAGTAGAAGCATCATAATTAAATTAGAACAATGGGTGCTTGGGGCATTTCCTTGTTTTGCCTGCCACAGAAATCGATCTGTTTGCATACCGTATATTGGCAAGATTTGAATCTTCCATTGGAAAATAAACATAAATCAATTAATATTGGAAACATGCAAGTGGTGTCATATATTACGAACATTTCTACGAGGAAAACTAATTCCAATTGTTTACAAACAAGCAACATCATTATTTTGTAATTTAAACAGATGGCATGCAGTTAGATTGCACTATATATACACACACACACAAGTCTGGGGATTGTGAGGTGGGGAAGGAAGCGTGGATGAACTCCCACTACACTCACAAATACCGTTACATCATTCACACCGCACAAGTGAATGGTACATTTTTGCTACAATTGACAAGATTTTCAAGTTTCCTCCCAACTTTCATGTGACAATGCATTGCTGCAAAGACCATCTCGTACCTTGGGAAAGTGTACCCTTGTGAGAACACCAAAATCCACATGAGCAGGATTACACCCCCCATTGCACAGTTGTGACCCATTTTACCACTGATGACGCGATCACCCAGTGGACATTCCGTTGCCTCCACTCTACCACCAACCTGCCAATTCAGTCAGCCGTGTGGAACTGCCCCCGAATTTGGGGGGACCCCCCTTCAACTTAAAAAGTAAAATGGCAGTAGAGAGATGTTTTGAGACAAGAGAACAGAGATGCAGACAAGATAGAGAATAATAATTGACGTTTAATGTTAATCATCTTGCTATGTCTGTTAGGATTTTCATTTGAGCTGATATTTGATGCATTCCAACATTTTTTTATGACTGTGTAGCTCCTTGAGCAACTTGGGCCCTTACATGCTTGCTAATGGTTGCCCGAGCCCTTAGCCCCTGCCTCTACTGGTACATCCAACATTGGTCATAATGCTTTTTTTCTCTCCATGATGGCGTACAGTGAAAGCTGATCATAAAAGATAACTTATTATTCCTGGGTTTAATTCCCTTGTGGGTGCACATAAATATCCCAAACACACTTTGTGCAGAATAAATAGGTCACTTAATGTGAGTGGTAGAGCCAACATAACTATCCAAAAAAGGTACTCACTCGATGAATAAAATCGCACTTTTCCAAGTAATGGTGCAGCGGATACAATAAAGCCATGAGAAACAGTATGCAGAGTTTTCATAAAGAACACAATAACAGAACGCATTACAATTGTAATGGTTCGTTAGAGGCGCACACACTGTTATAGGGAGGCAACAGTATTTATGAACACAACTTGTAATTAGACTACACATAGGGTGGTGACCACCGACCTATCGCTAACACTGACACTCGGATAACAACTGGCGTGGCCAAGTCAGGAGGGCTACTGCTTGGCCACGCTGACTTGAGGCTTCTCTTCACTTCTTCATGAGGCATCTTCATCCCGGACCCGAGCAGCCCCGCTCAAGGTGCGGGGCCCCCTTATATGCGCCTCGGCGTGGCCAGGCCACACCCAGGCCACGCCCACCTTCTCGAACCCTCGAGAAGGCTCTGCTCCTGGCCACGTGGCCCCCAAGGTCCCCCCTGGGGCCCCCACCTTGATCCGGTCACGTGTCCGGCCGGGTTCATACAGAGTGCCACGGCCTCACACAACCCCCCGTGGCACTGACCGACAGCCTCCAGACACCCCGATCCGGCCGTGACGTCATTCCCACACACACACATACGTAGTGACGTCATGTGTGTGTACAGACTCGCACGGTTGTGACGTAACAAGTCACTACACAATGATAGTTTAGTCAAATAAAACTATCTAAACTGATTGCAATTGAAAAAACTCTAACATCCGATCCCAAAAAAATATATAAATACATTATGGTTTTATTCATCCGTGATCCTTATTAAGAGGTCAGAAGTGTGGCTAGCTCCTGGTTCAGGGTACATGTATATATATGCCCCTTGTTGGGCTTGCATGGTGCTGTCTATATATTGTTTTACCATGTGTACACGTGTGGGTATGGCCCTTTCTGTTAATCCACATCTGACTGAGCCCCCCCCCCCCCTCCACCGCGTGGCTTGTGGGGGTTGTTTGATCATACTTCACCGTGCTGGTCAGTGATGGCAGGGGAGCCATGACTGGTTCAGATATCACTTGATACGAATGTTACCCATGACCAGGGAATTGAACTCGGGTGTGCAGGTGGCCGAGTTCACAGCGCAGTGTACTAATCACTGTGCCACCAGATACTGGTCAGTGTGGGTTGGCGAAGGCAGGGAACATAGACACGGGGGCAAAGTATAGTATGATATTTTTCTTTACTGCCTTCTAATGCCTGTGTAGGGGTTATTACGGTAGAAACGGCGGACAACAAACACAGGGCTGTCGGCACTCACATACACGGGGGGTCACACCGACGTCCGCATCAGTTATTGCCCACGCCCCCAGCCCTCGGAGGCGATCCCTATAAAAGGTGGAACCCAAAGAGCTCGAGTTCAGTTCGACACGAAGCTGACCAGTGAAGATCCAAGACTCGGAGATTAGGCCCTGGGACTCCCCGGTCTCGCCGTCTTTATAAGGGCCGAGCCGGGTAAGCCAGTGGCGCGGCCCAAGAGCTTCCAGACCGCTGCCCTTATCAGGGCAAGGCTGGTTAGCTGGTGCCGAGATCTGTGCTTGCCAGGGCCAGATCAGTCAGCCTCCCGTAGCCCAGTAGAGGAGGACTGGGGGACAGGACAGAGGGCTTAGTACTAGGGTGGGTTTCCCATAGTACGGGTGAAGGGGCCGATACCCCTTCAACTATTGTGCCTGTCCCTGGGTTAATAAACAGTGTGTCTCAACTTCGACATCGTCTCCTCCTCTACTTACTACATCTGGTGTTGGAAGTGGGCCAAGCATGGATACGAGACGGAAGACTCGTGCCCAAGACCCAGGAGAGGATGACGACGAGGGAGGGGCAGTGCAAGACATCGCCGCCGACGTACCTGCACAACAGCTGCCGGCTCCGACATCGGCGGGGTCGTCGGAGAGGGCCGGGACGTCGACTGACGAGTTGGCGTTGGCTCACTCGCGGCTGGCGGAGCTCTTGTATGCAGCGGCCGCTATGCTGGAACAAATAACTCGCCTGGGGCCGGGAGGAGCGACGCGGCGGGAAGATGGACAACGCCCGCCAGAAACTCCCGCCTTTACAACAGCGGGGCGACTCGAAATTCCCGCCACGAAGACAGTAGGGGCGAAGGGAGGAGTCCCAGCTCGTCACGCGGGGGACAGTGCCCAGCCAGCAGCCGCCACGTCATCGGCGGAGGCGGGTCGCGGTGGCGGCCTATCAGGGGTTGCAACGTCACCACCAGCGGACGCCAGCACCGACCAAGCCCCGACCAACACGTCACTGACGGCGCGACACCCATTAGAGTCCGCCATTACTCATACAGTACGGGGACGCGCTACGGATGCTGCAAGAGGATCGGAGACGGAGCCGACATTCCAGCAACGCCTGCCGGCCCTGCAGGTATTTGTTGCAAGCGACGGCGATTGGGGGGGGTTCCAGCGCCGGTTCTTGGCCCACCA